ACCAATAGATGTTGTAATGACAATAAATCATAAAATGTATTCAGCTCGACGTAAGACATAAATAGATACAGTTGGTTTAACTTGAATAAAAGTTTTAATTATCTATGCTGCATATATCACCTTGCAGCTGAATCACATTACATATCTTTTTAGTTGATGTTCATATCGTCTTACGTATTTGTCAACATCAAGGTTAGTGCGACCCATTTGTGACAATTTCTAGTTCCCAAATATTAGCGATTTAGCTCCTTTAAAAGCGAATGCAAGTTAAATATGTTTAATCAGAGGCGGATTCAATGGGGGGCGCGAGGGGCGCCCCCCCCCCCCAATTTTCAACAGTGCCCTTTTTTACGGCTGAAAGTGCCTTTTCTCAGACTCAAATATGTCCGTTCCCAACCCGTTGTAGGGATCCCAAATGACTCGAACCATCGACTCAAACACACCAGTCTGGGAAATAGCTCTTGGAATGGCTACAGATGCAAGGAAATGACGGATAATTTTCTTGGGGACCCCCCCCCCCCTCAGCGGCAAGCCACGTCTCCGCGGTCAATGCCTTCATTTTGCAGCCCCCCCCCCCTTTTCAAAATTCCTAGATCCGCCCCTGGTTTAATAGTACTTTTATCTAGTGTATCTTTTATTTTGATTTTTCTTATAGAATAAGGCTATATAACAATAATGTGCGCTTCTTGTTGTATAATACTAATAATAGTATGTTCAGCTATACTTTTCGTTTAAAAAATGTATGTTTTATGTCCCCCCCCCCCCATTTTGGGAACCAAATGCTGGGAAAATTTGGGCACACAATTGTACTTTGTAAAAGTTGTATAAAAAAATATTGTGTTCTTGAATGTGTCCAATTTAACAGCGAATTTATTATTATTATGTAACATACTAAGAACCTAACTACATTTTTGGGGCACCAACCACCACCGCCCCCCAGTCAAAAATTTCCCCGTACGCCTATGGTTATGTGTAAGAATATTCAGTTCAATATATTCACGGTGTATGATTTTATTCATACTTCAATTTTAGTGAGTTACTTCTGCAACGTTTTTAGAAAAAATTGCTATTAATTTGGCCAGTACTGTAATAGCAAGTGTATTAATATTTTCTGTTCAGTCTGTACACAGTAACATATCTGAGAACCATATTATCATTTCTGCCCAAGGCTCCAAGTGATTTATAGTTAGCAGTGATACAAGGCAATTACCAATTTTCCATGCTCTTGGCCTGAAGAAATAAAATAATAAAAGTCAAGTTTTTATTATTATGCAAGTGTAAAAATACAATTCTTCATGGTATGATTTGAATAAATACAACTGATTTGAAGTTGGAATTATTATTTGTCTAAGATGACTGGGCATTTACAAATTGAAATAGCTACTCTTCATCAAGAAAATACATGAATATTTTTTTTCCAATTCACCTGGATTTTATTGTAGGTCTTTGTACGTGAAATAGCTTTATTTAACGTCCGCTTCCACCGAAGTGATATTGCAGAAAATTAACAAATTCGGATTCCCTTTTAAAGGAATTAGACTACACTATCGCTGGATTGTATTATATTCAAAATGGCGCCCAGAACACAAAACAAACATTGCAATTCAGGGCGGACTGGTGTCGAGGTTGTATCCTAAGAATGATTTTTTGAATATTTAATCAAACAGAACACAATTATGCACATGCAGTTATGATATAATATTAAATTAGCTTACCTCAAATACCTCGAAATATACTGTTTGGTCAGTTTGTCCGCCCGTCATATTTCTATTAGTCACACATCCTTCGGCCAATTAAAATGGACGTATATTTTGTTTTAACCGAAACGAAAAATTTGCGTTATAAATACATTGTATTAGAAAATACCAAAATCACAAACCTGATATTCTTATTTTCTGAACAAACTTTTTTCACAACAATATCACTTTTTTCGATACTAATGCTTAATAATACAGTTAACATTTGCAGTACCACAGGGTTTAATACCGCAAAATTACTTCAATAAATATTTCTTTCTTTGTTTTAAGAGTAATTCATTTTAATTGGTCATTTACAGGTAAGAATAAATTTCCAATTTCGATTAATGAACCAATTAAATTAAATAAAAAGATTAACTCGACTATTTCCACGCCCATTCAAACATTTTTTTAAAACGTAGATATAACACAATTATTATTGTCTTTGATGTGTCAAGTTTATTTGGGCGATATCAATCAAACACTTCCAAATGCAGACATTGTAATAACCTGTCTCTGTATATTGTCTAAGACAAGATGTGAAAATAAACAAAGAGTAGAATCAGAATAATCTTTTATTATATCTAATTAAATAAATAGTTTATATTTAGATAATAATTGACTAAAACTTTGATCTCTTATATCAGTATACTGTTATAAAATACGTTGTTTTAAAAGAGATATTAAATGCATCGCACGATACATACATTGCGATTACTACTTAATGTTTGTAATAATTAATATATCCTTTTAGATAATTAGAAATATTAAAAAATAAATCAAGTGAATTACTCGACATTCAAATTCAGGAAGAGTGGTTTTACATATAGGCTAGGCCAGATCCCTAATCCAGTTCCCCAATCCCATTCAGATTTTCTCAATAAATAAAAAACATAATGTGATAAAGGAACATAATAAATGTTATCTTTAATGTCGACGTAATTAATTATATGGAAAAAAAAACCACATAAGATTTTATAAATGTACACAAGTTTGTGTTAAGACATTGAAAAGAACACAAACTTGTGTCATTGCAATGCAATATAACACAAACATATGTTAAATATTTTTAACACAAGTTCTTGTGTTGAGATCCAACACAAGGGTTTTTTCAGTGTATCTACCGTTAATTGTTTGACCCTTTTGGAGGTAATCCACCATGAGAACACCCTCAGAATCCCAGAATACTGAGGTCACCACTTTTTCTGCCGATGAAACAGTCTTTGCCTTCTTTGGGGTCGGCGACGTCACATGTTTCCACTGTTTTGACTGCATAGTATCTACCGTTAATTGTTTGACCCTTTTGGAGGTAATCCACCATGAGAACACCCTCAGAATCCCAAAATAATGAGGCCACCACTTTTCCTGCCGATGAAACAGTCTTTGCCTTCTTTGGGGTCGGCGACGTCACATGTTTCCACTGTTTTGACTGCTCTTTTGCTTCTGGCTGAAAGTGGTGGACCCAAGTTTCATCCATAGTAACAATTTGTTTTAGGAACCGGTCAGGATCGGTTTCAAATAAGGCTAGATTCTCTTGATCAGGCGTCAAAAGCTTTGGCACCCATCGTGCTAAAACCTTTGTCATTTCCAAAGTTTCAGTGATAATAGAATGAACTCTCTCCTGACTAATACCAACTACCCCAGCTATGAATCGTTCGGTAACTCATCGGTCATTCATTATCAGATCATGGATTTTTTGTACCATTTCATTTGTTGACACAGTTTTTGGTCGACCAGGGCGTGGTTCGTCTTCAATGCTGTCTCGGCCACGCTTGAATTCAGCTGACCACCTTTTAATTGTGGCATATGAAGGAGCATCATCTCCTAATGTCTCAACCATATTATCATGTATGGCTTTCGGTGTTAGACCCTTTTTATGCAGATACTTAATCACAGCTCTCGCCTCGATATGCTCCATTTTCTGATAACAACAGACCCTACTTGATTGTTATGACCTGTCACAACCAGTTTAACCGAATGTGATAAAAGTTTGTGACAGAGCCCGAGGAACATAATAGTGCACGTCAGAAACGTGGTATCATTGTGTTGCACGGTTTTCCAATCGAGGCTCACTACTTATCAATCACCCCTCATACAAATTTTAGTGCAAAGACATGACCATTTGTTTCTCTGTCTGTACTGAAAAGCATTCAGCCCAACGAAAATTTTGGGAAAAGTTGAAGGTGGGCAAAGAGGCCAGAATTAACATTGAAGTCAATGGGGAAATTAATGGTGGTCTGCCTCCATGTGCTCACATGTTATGGCCGACACTCGTAACCATCTTTCAGTGTATTATTTATGGATGATTTAATGGTCATAGCTTATTAAATACAGCATCTCCGTTTATTTAGTGACTGTAAATGTTTGAAACTGATTTAAGGCTTGGTGTATATATAAATATAGTGTTGTAATTGTCGAGATATTTGGATATATTTATTTATGGTGGGGCACCCTAACAAATGTGGATTTACTATTACTATGCATTATACCATGACCAAGTTTGATGATGAGAATTTTCTGCTAAGACTAAGTAGCGATAAACAGTTTTATTGATCAAGATTATGGAACATAACAACTCTGCTTTTAATTGAGATAGAATGTTTAAACTTGATGTAGATGTTCATTATAGTAAGTGCAGGGGGGGGGGGGCTGCACCACACACAATTTACACAAAAACAAATACACGGACAATACATCATACCCAGAAAAAGACAAACAATTAAAAAAAAGTGAATGGATCCGGGGGCTAGCCGTAAGCGTCAACTGCGCTTAGGCGAGTCTATAGGGATGTTTTAGATATGATATTATGTGAGGCTATAGACGTTTTAGATATGATATTAGGCGAATCTAGGGATGTTTTAGATTTGATATTAGTTGAGTCTATGGACGTTTTAGATATGATATATTATAGTTATAATAGTGTATTAAATTTAATTGCATGTCCCTTTTAATCAATTAAATGTGTAACAATGCCCCTTTATAATATTCAATTTTATTTTATGATCAGTAGGGGAATACCGCGTTTTATCAGTGAAATAAAAGTGTTATTTCACTGGCTAGTTGTTTTTACCTAAAATGATTGTAAAATCATAAAATAAATAGAACATTTGTCGTTTTGTCGTGAATAACATATTTTATTTCATCTCTAAGCAAGAAAACGTTTATATTTTCACGAATGCGTAGCATTCGTGAAAATATAAGTAATAAAATATGTTATTCACTCTAAAACGACAAATATCCTCTATATATTCATTCATATTGCAGATATATCATAATGTTAACGAGGTTTTTATGTAATAGAAACAGGAGATACATGTATTTGTTGAAACTAACGGGTATATCTGTATTGGTATTATTGGTAATCAACGGACTTATTAAATTAGATGAATATCAGATCATTAAACCACTCAGTAAACCACAACAAAAACAAATCAGGTAAGCTCTGTTAACTTATAACGACTCGTTAAACATGGAGTTCACGGATCGTTATATTTAAAGGAATGCAGGACGGAGGGCCTGACAAGGACAGCTGTCTAGTCCTTCGGATGGGACGAAAAACCGAGGTCCAGTGTACACATTGGCGTGCACGTAAAAGATCCCTTGATAGTTAGAATTCGATATAAGAGTAGGCCGTAGTGCCGCTGTCCGGGCAAAATTTCCCTCATAACAGTTAGCACACTGTTTAAGCGTATGCCCGTCTTCATTAGCCCAGTTCGGAGCAGAACAGTGGGACGTTAAACCCAATTACATTTCATTTCATTTTATATTTCAAATATAAGCTAAACAACATTTGTTCAAGGATTGGAGAATTTTATTGATTTTTTTTTACAGTTGAGCCAATTAATATTTATATACTGTTGGTCTATATTAACACAGGGTACAATTTTATGGATACGCAGTTACTGAGTTTAATACTAAGCGACGTTTCGACGAGGATACTCTCGTCTTTATCAAGCTCATCTCTCTCTCTCTCTCTCTCTCTCTTTCTCTCTCTCCCAATTTCAGCACTCCTACCAACCTTCAACCAGACGAATAATGAGTCGTTTATATCAAAATAATGGTCCCGACCAGGTGCGCAATCCCCAAATGAGCACGCAGTGGCGACACCAAACGAATTCATAATGGTGGTTGCTAGGCAGAAGTGTAAAAATTCTAAATTCGTTGATGTTGATGCTAAACGTGTAAAGCGTCGATTAAGAAGACGTTTTTCGTCTAAATAATAGAAATAAGACGGGATAGAATTAAAATTTACACTGAACAAATAAAGAAGTTGGATTATACATTGTCTTAATTTAAAAATTACATGAATAGAAGTTAGAAATTACATGAATAGAAGTTAGAAATTACATGAATAGAAGTTAAAAATTACATGAACAGAAGTTAGAAGTTAGACGAAAGCACGTTAGAATTTTGGATCTAATATACCGCCATACACTGAAAGTACCAATTCCGCCATGTTACCACTCTCAAAACATTGGTTTCTACCGTTGACGTAGTTGTATTTACCTCAAGGTAAATTTCGATAATTAATTCCATTATAAGTTTTTAAAATAATCATAAATTTTCAAAATTAATAACAAGTTATCCTGAATGAAATGTGCGACAGTTTATGAAAATAAAATAAACTAAAACGTGAAAAATACCGTTTACGTGAGCATGCCTTGGTCTTTCTTTTCATTCATAATCATAATAATGATAAATTAAAAAATGGTCGCATGGATGGTAAATAGACGTAAATCAGGCCTATTATTTTAATGAAACTTTTCATATTATAGAGGAAGGAAGGAGAAATGAATTCACGGGTGAAAAGAAAAGCAAATAAAAACAGATCGGCTTTATAGATTAAGCATTAAGGGCAAACATGCAGCTATTTATAGGCCTACCATAAGGCTAACTACAACAGCCATATTTACGTATTTTAATATAGTTCTTCAAGTTTTCTTTTTTTTTCTTTTTATGTTGTTTTTGTTGTATATATTTCTTCTTTTATATTTATTGATTTTCTATTGACTTTGATTTAAAGTAAAAAGAAAGAAATTGGACACATATTTAGGCCTATATATTAATAGCCTTTTTTTAAAAAAAAATAAATAATCACTACATCCTGGCCTTTTTCCTTCTGGATCAACTGGAATTACAGAATAGTAAAGAAGACAATAAGTTAAGGCTTAGCCTATAATAATATAGGCATTTATTTTATGATCAGTAGTGGAATACCGCGTTTTACAGTGAAACAAAAGTGTTATTCCACTGGCTAGCAGTAGTCCATGTTGTTTTTACCTAAAATGATTGTAAAATCATAAAAAAAATAGAACATTTGTCGTTTTGTCGTGAATAACATATTTTATTTCGGTTGAATAATATCATAGAAATATCTTATTTGCACAGTTTTACGTATTTGTCGACATTAAGCCCATGAATTTTCTTGTTTCACTTGACTGAACAAAACATTTTGTAGGAATGTAGGCTTTTATAGATTGAACAAAAAGCTGATAAATGTTGAGATGGGTGGAACATGCTCGAGACGATTTGTGACAAACCTCAGACACAATGTTTTGTTTAGTCACGTACACAAATAAGATATTTCTATGATATTATTCAACCGAAAGGTCTTATATATGCATGATATAATATTTACATTCAAGTTAAACAAACCGCATCTATTCATTTTAAATCTTCATTATATTCATTATAACATCTACGGATGTAACAGTGTATAACTAAAAACTATGATTGGATCTTTATTGCCAACATTTCAATGTAGCTAGAATTGACTACACCTTGTCTATTGCATCTAGATGTATAAAGCGCGTTAACAATATATTCATTTAAGAGCAACCATGTCATTTCGGGATTAATATACCACATATTACAAGTCATACCCAACGGAAAGAAATGACGATTAATGAAAATTCTACCATTTTGGATTTCATTTTGCCGGCCATTTTGAATTTCTACCATAAAGAATTCTCGAAATAAAATTTTTGAGAATATCGCTGCCCTTTTATTACAAAATTAATGAAGTTTTTTTCATTTTTTTTTTAAATTTGGCAGTCAGTTTGAAAGAAATGCCCGCCATTAAATGAAAAATACATTTTTAAATTGATGTTTGTCAAATTCGATTTTTCGACACACTTCGCTTGTATAACCACTCTGTGTTTGAGGAATTTAAAAAAAAATTATTTATCCTACGACCACTGAAAGACACTGATTACGATATAGCGCTCTCGATAATTCCTGAAGAACGCCAAATTGAATTATGTTAATCATGTCATTTTGCCTTGGCCGATTTTGAGTATGATTTTGTCTGACATATTATCATTGAACCAAACTGCATTGGTTTCTTTTGCAATTTTTTTAGGATAAATTATAGCCCGTAAAACGTTATACCAAGAAAAAAATAAAACGTTTTGCTAAGTAAAGCTATATGACGCCATGACGTCATAGTTTTTATAGCGTCATAGTTACAACTAATTTACAGGGCTTTGCGCATGATCAGACGGCAACAGCGGCCGCCATATTGTTTACATTGCACGCTTAAAAAGTTGATCGGCGTATTTTATCGTTTAAAATCCCAATTTGGGGATTAAGCATGTTCATTTCAAGGTTTTTATAGAAAAGGTAGAATTTTCTGGAATTTAGATGACATTTGATATGTGAAATTTAAGAATATGGACCGAAAAAAGGGATTAAAAGAAGTTAGCCTAGAACAACGATACGATGGTTGGTTTGGGTGATAAATCATTTTTACATCAAATAATTTGTAATAAGTTCCACCATATACTGAATAAAACAAGTCCAGTTTTTATTTATCAGTTATTAAATTTATTACGTCTGTAGCCTACTTCAAAAATAAAAAAAAAATCTCGGGAAAATCAAAGCGTACGGTAACGATAAATCAATTTGACATTTTAAATAATTTGTACCGTAATAAATTCCATTATATAAAATTATATGTTGAATAAAACAATTCTAGGGTTTTTTTTATCAGTCATTAACTTCATTACATCTGTATATAAAAAATAATGGACAAAATCAAGGCATGGGCATCAAGCCATTACCATTAAAATTTTACGATCTGTATATAATAAATAATGGACAAAATCAAGGCATGGGCATCAAACCATTACCATTAAAATTTTACGTTACGGGTATTCAAAATAAAAAAAAAGTATTGACAAAATCAAGGCATGGGCATCAAACCATTACCATTAAATCTGTATTTATTCAAATTAAAAAAATTAATTGACAAAATTCAGCCACAGGCGCATCCAACCATTCAAATCTTAGTTATTCAAAATAAAAAAATTATTGACCAAAAGCAAGGCAACCATTCCCATTAAAATCTTACTTATTCAAAATAAAAAAAATAATTTACAAAAATAAGGCATGGGCATCCAACCGTTACCATTAAAATTGTATTTATTCAAAATAAAAACAAGAGCATTTAAATTCATATTCTGCTTTGAGTGGTAGTTTTTTTAAAATGAAATATGAAATGGCTGCCATGACCGATTATTTGAAATGAATAATCATGCCTATATGAACAAATTCTGTTAATAATAGCAGCCTGTATAGTGTTTACAGACATGCACAAAAATCAATAGGTACCCGCCTGTCTTCGAAATGAATTATAAGGCATAAGTATGCCCAGTTCCAAGATGTAGGTGATACACATAAAAATTGGTCGGGACTAACATATTGCTCAATATTATTTCAATAACTGGCTTTCGTGTGCAGGTTGGACAGCTGACCCCACTCCCTGTCACGTACAAGCTCACGCTCGAAACTCACCACTTGACACAATGACAGATCTTAAAATCTAAAGCGCACGCTTTAAACCATTCGACTATCCAACTCCCCTCCAAACACTAGGGGCGATGGCATAATATGTCCACATTATAAATGTGAACGTATAAAGATAATTGACAAAATTAAGGCATGGGCATCTAACCATTATCATTAAAAAATTTATTATTTAAAATAAAAAAAAAATTGACAAAATCAAGGCATGGGCATCCAACCATTACCATTAAAATTTTAGTTATTCAAAATAAAAAAAAAATATTGACAAAATCAAGGCATGGGCATTAAAATTGTACCGATTCGAAATAAAAAAAAAAAATATTGACAAAATTAAGGCATGGGCATCCAACCATTACCATTAACAAGCCAACAGTGGAGTGGGGCTGATGTCCCCCGCTGAAATCCCAAAATTTCATCACTCTGACTTAATTAGAAAAGAACTAAAGTTATTGTGTCCAAAAGCATCAACCAATCAAATTGCTTATCTCGGCTTACCCTAAGCAGAAAATGCTCATCTTCGAACTCCATCAAGGCATTGACCTAATAAAACACCTACACCAAGTTTGAACTTTATAGCTCAATTAGGAGAGTTATTGTGTCCCAAAAAGTGTGACGGACGGACGCACGGA